CAGGAGTCTGAGGCAGGAGAATGGCATGAACCCAGGAGGCTGAGCTTGCAGTGAGTTGAGATTGCGCCACTTCACTCCAGCCTGGACGACAGAGTGAGACTTCGTCTCCAAATAAGTAAATAAGCTAGGTGTGGTGGCACGCACCTGTAGTTCCAGCTACTCGGGAGGCTGAGGCAGGAGAATTGCTTGAACCTGGGAGGTGGAGGTTGCGGGGAGCCAAGATTGCGCCACTGCACTCCAGCCTGGCAACAGTAATAATAATAATTTTACTGTGGGCTGGCGTGGTGGCTCATGCCTAAATCCCAGCACTTTGGGAGGCTGAGGCAGGAGGATCACCTGAGGTCGGGAGTTTGAGGCCAGCCTGGGCAACATGGTGGAACCCCGTGTCTACTAAAAATATAAAAATTAGCCAGGCGTGGTGGCATGTACCTGTAATCCCAGCTACTTGGGAGGCTGAGGCATGAGAATCACTTGAACCTGGGTTGCGGAGGTTGTAGTGAGCTGAGATCACGCCACTGTACTCCAGCCTGGGTGACAGAGGGAGGCTCACTCTCTCTCAAAAAAAAAAAAAAAAAAAAAACCCCAACAAAACAAAGTAATCCAGGAACAACAACATGATGAAGGAAAATCCAGCAGGACTCAGTGATTGGTGGTGGAAGACAGCCAGGAAGTTAAGCTTGACTCTGGGATTAAGTGTTGCCTGGGAGAGTTAAGATTCCATTTACAGAAATAAGAACCTATAGGGGAACCTCTGATTTTTTTTGCAGACTACTGATTTCCTGATTACATGTGTTAAGTTTGAGGTATAGAAAGAAAGAACATCCTGGCCGGGTGCATGGCTCACGCCTGTAATCCCAGCACTTTGGGAGGCCAAGGTGGGCGGATCACAAGGTCCAGGAGATTGAGACTATCCTGGCCAACATGGTGAAACCCCATCTCTACTAAAAATACAAGAATTAGCTGGGCGTGGTGGCGTGTGCCTGTTATCCCAGCACAGAGAGAGAGAGAGAAAGAAAAGAAAAGGAAAAGAGAGAGAGTGAGAGAGAGAGAGAGAGAACATCCTATAGAAACAGGCAGTCAGAGGTATAGAACTACACAGAATCCAAGAGATCTTTCAAGAAAAGTGACATGCAGCAAGAGAAACTATCAAGGGGGTAAACTTACAACCTATAGAATGGGAGAAAATATTCACAAAGTATACATCCAACAAAGGTCTAATATACAAAATCTATAAGGAACCTAACAAGCAAAAAGCAAACAACCCCATTAAAAAGTGGGCGAAGGACATGAACAGATACTTCTCAAAAGATGTACATGTGGCCCACAAACATGAAAAAATGCTCATCTCTAATCATCAGACAAATGCAAATCAGAGCCACAAAGAGATACCATCTCACACCAGTCAGAACAGCTTTTGTTAAAATGTCAAAAAATGAGAGACATTGGTAAGGCTGCAGAGGAAAGCAGACACTTGTGCACTGTTTTTGAGGGTATAAATTAATTTAGTCTAGGCACTGTCAGTTTGGAGATTTCTCAAAGAACTAGAAGTCGAACTACCATTAGACCCAGCAATCTGATTGCTGGGTATACACCCAAAGGAAAATAAATCATTTTTCCAAAAGAACATATGTACGTGTATGTTCATTGTGGCACTATTCACAATAGCAAAAACTGAATCAACCCAGGTGCCCATCAGTGGTGGACTGGATAAAGAAAATATGGTATATAGCTACCATGGAATACTATGCACCCATTAAAAAGAATGAAACCATGTCTTTGCAACAACATGAATGTGGCTGGAGGGCATTATCCTAAGTGAACTAACACAGAAACAGAAAATCAAATACTGCATGTTCTCACTTGTAAGTGGGAGCTGAACATCAAGTACACATGGATATAAAGATGGCAACAATAGACACTGGGGTCTGTTAGAGGTGGTGGTGCAGGGGGTAGGGAGTGGGGGTGGCAGAGGAACAGCTGAAAACCCACCTATTTGATACTATACCTACCACCTGGGAAAGGGGTTCAGTCATACCCCAAACCTCAGCATCACACAGTATATACCTTTGTAACAAACTTACACATGTACTCCCTGATTCTAAAATAAACATTGAAAAAGAAAAGGAAACTGACATGATTTGTGCTGTTTAATCCCACATAATGGCTAGGGGAAATGAAGTCTGCAGAATGGCTATTTGGGGATCTTGCTGAGATGAGGTCTCACTATGTTGCCCAGGCTGGTCTTGAACTCCTGACCTCAAACAATCCTCCTGCCTTGACGTCCCAAAATGTTGAGATTACATGCATGAGCCACTGCCAAAATGGCTATTTGGATTGCTGTTAAGGTTATTACATTCTCTGTGAAGTAAGATCTTGAAGGAGAAGGATTTGAGATCAGGAGTTTAAGAGAAATTGTCAATCTAGGAAGAGAGGAGAATTTCTGTGTTTGGCCAGGCACGGTGGCTCATGCCTATAATCCCAGCATTTTGGGAGGCCGAGGTGGGCAGATCACTTGAGCTCAGGAGTTTGAGACAAGCCTGGGCAACATGGTGAAACCCCATCTCTACTGAAAATACAAAAATTGGCTGGGCATGGTGGCAGGTGCATACTGTAATTTCAGCTACTCGGGAGACTGAAGCAGGGGAATTGCTTGAACCTGGGAGGTGGAGGTTACAGTGAGCCTAGATCGCGCCACTGCACTCCAGCCTGGGAGACTCCATCTCAAAAAAAAAAAAAGAAAGAAAACAAGATGCTGAATTGAAGTAGTGACCATAGTCAATGTGATCCCATAACTTTTTTTTCTTTCAGAGACGGGGTCTCCCTCTGTCACCCAGGCTGGAGTGCTGTGGTGCATCATAACTTTCTGCAGCCTTGACCTCCTGGGCTCAGGTGGTCCTCTTGCCTCAGTGTTCCGAGTAGTTAGGATTGACTGCAGGTGCATGCTGCTATGCCTGGCTAATTTTAAAATTTTTTTGTAGAGGCGGGGTCTTGCTGTGTTGCCTAGGCTGGTCTCCAACTCCTGATCTCAATCATTCCCTCCTGCCTACCTTCCCAAAGCGCTGGGATTACAGGTGTGAGCCAGCGCACCCAGCCAATCTCATAACATTTTATGACTAGCAAACTTAGTAGTCCTGATTCAGGCATAAATCAGTTGGTGGGGTTATACAAGGTTGGGTGAGTTTTTCTAGATTGCTGAGAGACCATGTTGAAATACTTGGCTCTGTCTCAGTAAGGGATAGAGAGAAGCAAAGGTATGGGTAAAGGTTATGAGCAAAGATGTAAAAGGAGAAAATTAAAGTGTTTTGAGAAGGTGAAGCAGTTCCAAATCATAATATAGATCCCAGGCTTCACCAAGAAGTGAAGGAGATGGTAATTGTGCAGTAGTTCTCGGGAGTGAGACCTCAAGGTGTAAGATGAATCTTTATTGTGCATGGTCCTCTTTGAGAGGAACAAAAAAGAAAAATGTGAAATGGGTGCTAAATTTCAGAGCAGAATATACATGTATGTGTGTGTATGTATGTGTGTATGTGTATATATTTACGTAGCAAATTCCAGTTTACAAAGGGCTTTTATGTGTTTTGCATCATTATCAACAGTTCTGTGATGATGTGGGTGTGGTAGATGTTATTCCACATCACAGAGGATAAAATTGAGGCACACCGTAAGGCAGCTGACCAGAGATCATGCAGTATATGGTAGAATGGCAACTTGAGGCCAATTCTTAGGTGTGTTTGTTGTCCTTATTCAGAATGGAACAATGTGGTTTATTGTACAAAAATTTAAAAATGAATGTCGAAAAGTAGAAATTATTACCCAAATCTCACCCTCTGTGGTTGTTTGCTATGTGATCTTCCAGACTCACATATACATGTAGATACTTTAACTTTTTGCTTTTAACTACTTAAGATATTATGAACTCATTTCCAAATTAACATATATTTGCTTTTAACAGCTACATGTATTCCACTGGAGATATGTACCATTTGTAATCTATTCCTGGAAATTTAGATGGTTACAACTGTTTTTTATTTTTTTATTTTTTATTTTTTTATTTTTTTTTTTGAGACCGAGTCTCACTCTGTCACCCAGGCTGGAGTGCAGTAGTGTTATCTTCACTCACTGCAACCTCCACCTTCTGGGTTTAAGTGATTCTCCTGCCTCAGCCTTCTGAGTAGCTGGGACTACAGGCACACACCACCACGCCCAGCTAATTTTTGTATTTTTAGTAGAGATGGGGTTTCATCATGTTGGCCAGGATGGTATCAATCTCTTGACTTAGTGATCCACCCGCCTTAGTGATCCGCCCGCCTCCGCCTTCCAAAGTGCTGGGATTACAGGCGTGAGCCACCGTGCCCGAACTCAACTGTTTTTTATTATAAATAATGCTGTATACAGCCTGTCCAACACTTTGGGAGGCCAAGGCAGGCGAATCGCAAGGTCAGAAGTTCGAGACCAGCCTGACCAACATGGTGAAACCCCATTTCCACTAAAAATACAAAAGTTAGCAAGGCGTGGTGGCACACACCTGTAATCTCAGCTATTCAGCAGGCAGAGGCAGGAGAATCACTTGAACCCAGGAGGCGGAGGTTGCAGTGAGCCAAGATTGCACCACTGCACTCCAGCCTGGGTGACAGAGCGAGACTCCATCTCAGAAACAAAGAAGAAAAAAAAATCCTTTGTTCTGGTTTTCCCGTAGTTTCCACAGATCCAAAAGGGTCAGGTTTATTTCCAGCAGCCAAATATTCTGCCATTTGGACTGAGATATCTCCTAGGTTGAGGTTATTATAGAGGTAGTAACCTGATTCTTCCTTTTCTCCTTCCCCTTTCCTCCTTTGCCTCCCTCCTTTCTTTCTCTGTATTTTATCATTCCATTTTCCTTTCTTATTTCTAGGCCATATAGGCCAGCCAGGGAAACGTTAGTAAGGTGTGACATTGATCCCTATGACTTGAGGAATATTCTTTGACCCTGAGACATGCCAATTATGCTGTCCTTTTCCTAGGATGCTCACAACTGTATTCCTGAGCTGGACAGTGAGACAGCCATGTTTTCTGTCTACGATGGACATGGAGGTAACTTTAACAAATCATATTGGTAACATTCTAGGACCCCAGTTCCAGACGTTCCAGGGCAAGAACAGTCCCCTTGTTCATTTACTTTCCAGGGTCTGGCCCTCAATATCATTTCCTGCCTGGTGCTGTTTTTCTGTATTCTGTCATTCTTTTTTCCCAGTAGGTACTGTATTGGTTTATAATCTCACCAGGACTTGTTTTAATCCAAAGAGCCTCTTTCTCTTTTTTTATTTTTATTTTTTAAAATTTTTAGGCAGGGCGCGGTAGCTCATGCCTGTAATCTCAGCCCAGTGGATCATGAAGTCAGGAGTTCGAGACCAGCCTGACCAATATGGTGAAACCCCATCTCTTCTAAAAATACAAAAATTAGCTGGGCATGGTGGCTTGTGCCTGTAGTCCCAGCTGCTCAGAAGGCTGAGGCAGGAGAATTGCTTGAACCTGGGAGGTGGAGGTTGCAGTGAGCCAAGACCATGCCACTGCACTCCAGCCTGGGTAACAGAGCAAGACCCTGTCTTTAAAAAAAAAAAAAAAAAAAAAGAGGCCGGGCGCGGTGGCTCAAGCCTGTAATCCCAGCACTTTGGGAGGCCGAGGCGGGTGGATCACGAGGTCAGGAGATCGAGACTATCCTGGCTAACATGGTGAAACCCCGTCTCTACTAAAAATACAAAAAACTAGCCGGGCGTGGTGGCGGCGCCTGTAGTCCCAGCTACTTGGGAGGCTGAGGCGGGAGAATGGCGTGAACCCGGGAGGTGGAGCTTGCAGTGAGCCGAGATCACGCCTCTGCACTCCAGCCTGGGAGACACAGCGAGACTCCATCTCAAAAAAAAAGAAAAAGAAAATTGTATCCAGATGAGCTGATTCTTTATCTTTTTTTCACTGGAGAACTAAGTATACATGTGAGAAAAGACGAGTTATGTTAATATACCGAGAGAATTGATGGTGAAATCCATTTTTTTGGACCAGAACTTCCCCAAACAGTGTCCTTCAAATAGGGTTCAGGGGTGCTAAGATATTTGTCCCCTCAACCCTTGGGGTTCACTCCACTATGGCATATAAATATTGTATCACTTTCTATGTGTGGGGAGCAGTGCTCCAGGTGACTTTCCTTCCTTTCCTTCTAGGGGAGGAAGTTGCCTTGTACTGTGCCAAATATCTTCCTGATATCATCAAAGATCAGAAGGCCTACAAGGAAGGCAAGCTACAGAAGGTCTGTCAGCTTACACTGCCCATTCCTCACTTGTGTAGGCTTTTCCCTTGTTCTCTAGCCCTTGGGCTTTTCCTTTCTTTTTGTCCCCTAGCTGCTGCTGCTTATTTACTCTTGAAGAATTCTGTTCCTAAAACGAGCTTATTGGCCACCTTTTAGACTTACCTTACTATTCCTAGGCCTCTGAACTGTTTTTATCTGTGAGTGTCTCTTACTGTGGTAGCTCACACTCTTAATTTGTATTCCATCCTTGTGCTCAGGATTGTACATAGGGAGTTCATTTTGTACTAGTCTTAGACTATTTTGCTTATATTTAGGCTTTAGAAGATGCCTTCTTGGCTATTGATGCCAAACTGACCACTGAGGAAGTCATTAAAGAGCTGGCACAGATTGCAGGGCGACCCACTGAGGATGAAGATGAAAAGGAAAAAGTAGCTGATGAAGATGATGGTGAGTGTGGCATCCCTTGTTTGAGGGGAAATCAGCATTTTAAGAAATATTCTTTAATATTTCTTATCAATTCTAAGATAGGATGGCTTTCTAGGGACCTGGGGAGTCCTTATGTTAAAGAAACCTATGGTGTTCTCCTGCATTGTATGTGGTTATGAAAAGGAGAGAGAGAATTATCTTGGTTGAGTGGCATCTGAGCTGTAAACATTGTATATACATTATCTTTTGTCATTGTGATGGGATCTTCCTGGTTCCTGCTGGTATTTGTGTGCTTTTTTTTTTCCCCTCAAGACTGGAGCAGTTATTAGCCCCAATAGCCAGTCATTAAGCCTAAATCCTAATTCTACAATAGCACTGTGGGCTTCCTGGATCCTCAGCCAGAATAGAGTTTTTACAACTTAACAATAACAAATGAGACGTCAGAGGGGAGCTATAGTAACTAGTGTTGTTTTGATTAAGAAGGGGATGAAACACAAAAACCAAAGAAGTCTGTGGAGGAGGAGGAGCTAGGGCATGTTCTTCTGAGACTTGATGAGCAAGAGGAACCTTAGGAGTGGGAGGTTGTGGGGAAGTTAGAGGCTGTAAGGGCTGTTGAGATAGTGAGATGAACGGATCCCATGAGGAGTCTGGCATGGGGGCTCTGATTTAGCCTCTTCCCTGCAGTGGACAATGAGGAGGCTGCACTGCTGCATGAAGAGGCTACCATGACTATTGAAGAGCTGCTGACACGCTACGGGCAGAACTGTCACAAGGGCCCTCCCCACAGCAAATCTGGAGCTGGGACAGGCGAGGAACCAGGGTCCCAGGGCCTCAATGGGGAGGCAGGACCTGAGGACTCAACTAGGGAAACTCCTTCACAGGAAAATGGCCCCACAGCCAAGGCCTACACAGGCTTTTCCTCCAACTCGGAACGTGGGACTGAGGCAGGCCAAGTTGGTGAGCCTGGCATTCCCACTGGAGAGGCTGGGCCTTCCTGCTCTTCAGCCTCTGACAAGCTGCCTCGAGTTGCTAAGTCCAAGTTCTTTGAGGACAGTGAGGATGAGTCAGATGAGGCGGAGGAGGAAGAGGAAGACAGTGAGGTAAGGGCCTGTGAGGGCAGGCAGATGCTGAAGTTGCAGAGAGGTCCTGTTTGGTTGCCGTCTGTAGTTTTCAACTCTCCTCCTGTTTTGACATCATCCCCTAAGACCCACTGTATTCTAAGCTTTAGCCTTGAATTCACTGAGCTCCGTCATCACAGGTACCATTTGCTTTCTTACCTCTTCCTTTGTTGATACTATAACAAGCAGATCTAGTTCTGGCCTTTCAGAGTCTATCTCCTAGAGAGAGAACAAGAATATAGTTGTTACCTTGGCTAGTTAGCTGTTTTCTTCTCTGGACAATTTTTCTGGCCACAGTGCCTGAAAGATACTTTTGGCTGGCAGCCCTTGCCTTGTCCTGGGCTTTTTGCTAGTGATTGCTAAGCCCAGTTCAGGATGTCAGTTATACTCATGCTAGCCCTTTCCATCCCCCCAATTTTCATGACCATATACTTGTATCTTTCAGTGTTTTGAGGACCTGTGTTCAGTCAGGGCCTCTTGATTCTGAGTCTGAGCTGGGGGGAGGGAAGGGATCATCCCAGTCTCAGCAGTCTGGGATCCTCCTCCTGGCAGGAATGCAGTGAGGAAGAGGATGGCTACAGCAGTGAGGAGGCAGAGAATGAGGAAGATGAGGATGACACCGAGGAGGCTGAAGAGGACGATGAAGAAGAAGAAGAAGAAGAGATGATGGTGCCAGGGATGGAAGGCAAAGAGGAGGTGTGTGGGGAATGGGAGCAATGAGTCTTGAAAGGCCACAAGGCAGGTGTGAATCCCCTAATTTTGATTTTGAGACAGGGGAAGGGGATCCCCCTGATACTTTAGGATGGAAGTGATAGTAATAGGGATTTATTCCGCAAGGGGGATGAGATGGTAAGCCTTTGGGGTCTAATTATCTAAAAACACAGGAGAGGGAGTGTGCTGCTGTCTCTAGAAAGATGAAATCTGTGCCTCTCCTATTTGTTAAAGCTTTCTTGGGGGTCCCAGTGAAAGCAAGCATAGGTGAATGGTCAGGAGCACATCAGTGAGGAACTCATGTTCAGAAGCTCCCATGATGCTCCCTTTCTTCCTCTTTAGCCTGGCTCTGACAGTGGTACAACAGCGGTGGTGGCCCTCATAAGAGGGAAGCAGTTGATTGTAGCCAACGCAGGAGACTCTCGCTGTGTGGTATCTGAGGCTGGCAAAGCTTTAGACATGTCCTATGATCACAAACCAGAGGATGAAGTAGAACTAGCACGCATCAAGAATGCTGGTGGCAAGGTCACCATGGATGGGCGAGTCAACGGGGGCCTCAACCTCTCCAGAGCCATTGGTAAGGGCCAAGAAACCGGGAAAGACTTCTAGGGTCTTGCTCTCTGTCCCAGACTACCTAGTAGCAAACTTTAATCTTCCTAGTGCTTGTGCCTTTCAAAGCACTTCAATATCTACTACCTCTGTTCTTATATTCCTATGAAATAGCTAAGATGGGTATAGGTATCATTATATATAGGTATCTTTTTTTTTTTTTTTTTTTTTTTTTGAGACGGAGTTTTTACTCTTGTTGCCCAGGCTGGAGTGCAATGGCGTGATCTCAGCTCACTGCAACCACCACCTCCCAGGTTCAAGCAATTCTCCTGCCTCAGCCTCCTGAGCGGCTGGGATTACAGACATGCACCACCACACCTGGCTAATTTTGTATTTTTTTTAGTAGAGACGGGATTTCTTGGTCAGGCTGGTCTCGACCTCCTGACCTCAGGCACGCCTCAGCCTCCTAAAGGGCTGAGATTACGGTATGAGCCACTGCGCCTGGCTATGTAGGTATTATTATATCCATCTTATGTAACATTTGAATGATGAACAAGACCGGTGAGTGACTTTCTTAAGGTTCAGCAGTCTGGTGGCAGGGTTGAAACTAGAAAAACTAGGACTCAGTTCTCCATTCCACTAGATTGTGGAACTTTGTAAAGAAGGGAAATGAATGGCAAGGTTTGACCTGCCACAAACACAAGTCTGTGGGAAAAGTATCCAAACTGCTCATCAACCAACCATTCCTTTACTCCAGGGGACCACTTCTATAAGAGAAACAAGAACCTGCCACCTGAGGAACAGATGATTTCAGCCCTTCCTGACATCAAGGTGCTGACTCTCACTGACGACCATGAATTCATGGTCATTGCCTGTGATGGCATCTGGTGAGCACTGGCAGAATGCCCTAAATTCCCCTTTCTGCAGCATTTCTTCTCTTATAGGGCTTAGGGCACCTCTAGGATTAGAACCTAGGCAGACCTAGACCTCTTGGTGAGTGAAGAGCACCCAGACTAAGGCAGAGCTGAGAATTTCTGTAGTTATTTACACTGGCCTGGGCCACCACCTCTGTCCATACTCCTCTACTCTGCCTTGGTGAGACTGGAAGATTCTGACTGTTGTTCTCGACCCCAGGAATGTGATGAGCAGCCAGGAAGTTGTAGACTTCATTCAATCAAAGATCAGCCAGCGTGATGAAAATGGGGAGCTTCGGTTATTGTCATCCATTGTGGAAGAGGTGAGTACCAAGGTGGAGAAGAGAGGGTGTTTGGTCTGCATAGCCAGGGTTTACTCTTTTCATCTGAGCTAAGTCGGCAATCTGGGAGCAGTACCATTAATTGCTGACAGATGCTAAACCCCGACTACAAAGTTCCACCTTCTCTCATTTCTCTGACTTAGCATTATGCCTTATGGACTAGCAAGTGGGCTGTTTTGTGATACCTCTTGCCCATTTCTCTCCTTCTATCACCCTGACTCAGCAGGCCAGCCCTCTTGTGGGACTCTAGGTTCCCAGCAAGGTGTTCAAACCCTGTGGCTGAGCTACCCCCATCCCTTTTGTAGCTGCTGGATCAGTGCCTGGCACCAGACACTTCTGGGGATGGTACAGGGTGTGACAACATGACCTGCATCATCATCTGCTTCAAGCCCCGAAACACAGCAGAGCTCCAGCCAGAGAGTGGCAAGCGGAAACTAGAGGAAGTGCTCTCTACTGAGGGGGCTGAAGAAAATGGCAACAGCGACAAGAAGAAGAAGGCCAAGCGGGACTAGCAGTCATCCAGACCCCTGCCCACCTAGACTGTTTTCTGAGCCCTCCGGACCTGAGACTGAGTTTTGTCTTTTTCCTTTAGCCTTAGCAGTGGGTATGAGGTGTGCAGGGGGAGCTGGGTGGCTTCACTCCGCCCATTCCAAAGAGGGCTCTCCCTCCACACAGCAGCCGGGAGCCTCTGCTGTCCTCCCCAGCCGCCTCTTTGCTCCTCGGGCTCATCACCGGTTCTGTGCCTGTGCTCTGTTGTGTTGGAGGGAAGGACTGGCGGTTCTGGTTTTTACTCTGTGAACACTTTATTTAAGGACATTCTTTTTTATCGGCGGCTCCATGGCCCCTCGGCCGCTTGCACCCGCTCTCTGTTGTACACTTTCAGTCAACACTTTTTCAGACTAAAGGCCAAAACCTAATCGTGCGCATCGTGTCCTTTTTTTTCTGCTGCTGTGGCCCCAGACTTGGCCCCATCGGTAACATCTGGCGAGCCCCCATGTGAGTGCGTGCGTGTGTGTCCCGCGTGTGTGTAGGGGAGCCCCGAGCGAGCTGCTGGAAGGTCGGCCCGGCGGGCGTCGCGGCTACCCCTCGCCCCCTCCTCGAGCCAGAAATGCTCTCCTAGTTTCCTCAGGGAGGGGTCGGGACCGGTCTGGCGGGCCTGAAACCTGGAGTCGTGCTGGAGGCTTCCTGCGCGGCTCCCCGGCCGGCTCTCCCCGGCCTCCGATTGGCTCGCTCGCCGTCTCGTCACAATCACTTCCCGGTCACGCCATTGAGGCTGCCGCCGCCGCCGCCGCCGCCGCCGCCGCTTCCCATGGACTACGCGTCCCGTGCGGCTCTGCGGCGGCGGAAGCGGAAGCGAGTACGGAGGTACCAGCTGGTCTCCGTAGGGGGGTAGGGGGCTCCATGAATGGAAGCGGCGGCGGCGGCGGGAGCGGCCTGAGCTGGGTGCCGGGGCCAGGGCCGGGGGCTGCCCAGGGCCCGCGCCGCTGCATGGGGGCGGCCCGCGGGCCCTGAGAGGAAGGGCAGACGGGCGGGCCGAGATAAGAGGGGCGGGGTCGGGCGGCCGCAGGCCGGAGGCGCGTCGGGCTGGAGCCGGTCACGATGCCCCGAAGGAAGCAAAGCCACCCGCAGCCCGTGAAATGCGAGGGGGTCAAAGGTCAGGGGTCAGGGGCCTTGAGGGGAGAGGAGCGCGGGTGGGGGCAGTGGAGCGTGGGCTCAGGTCAGGGTGGAGGGGGACTCCTGAGGGATGAAGTGGGCGATCCAGACTCCTAGCTTCCCACCGAGGCACTAAGGTAATCAGAGTGGGTCAGCGAGTACGGGAAGTGTAGTCCACGAGGGCTGGCTCTTGAGGGAGAATCCACAAGCCCCCTCCCCTCTTCAGTGGATACTGAAGACTCCCTCGACGAAGGACCCGGGGCCCTGGTATTGGAGAGTGATTTGCTACTAGGCCAGGATCTGGAGTTTGAGGAGGAAGAGGAAGAGGAGGAAGGCGACGGCAACAGTGACCAGCTCATGGGCTTCGAGAGAGACTCAGAAGGTGGGTTTTCGGGACTTGGTTAAGGATTAGTGGCCGCCGGAGACCCCAGCCCTTCGGGAGGCAGATTAGAGCACCATTTCCTGCCACAACCGAGGGCTGGTTGAGCTTACATTTGAGCTAGATGACTTCATTTGTTTAATGGTCCAATCACTTCCATCACTTTGTTGAGGTGAAGTTCTGAGGCCCGGTCAAAGGTGATATGAATAGGAGGGTGGGTGAATCACATGGAGCAACTGATTAAAAGTAAATGCCCTGTCCCTCTTCCTAGCCCATTCCTTATGTGTATTTACTTTTAAGAGCGGTTCAGGGAAGCAAACTCTGTAAATCATTCAACCCAGTACTGACGTCTAATTTAACTCCCTTTCACCTGCAGCGTAAGCTCCTTTTGTATTGAGAGGTTTTAGTTTCTGTCTTTATCCTTTAGTTTGTCTTTATCCTTCCATGCCCCTCTTCCCTGTGATCTTAGCAGCACCCTACCCTAATTTGCTGCACTAACCCATCCATTTATGCAAGATGTTTTTTGAAAGTCATTGAGGGGACCCATGTAAATATCAATCTGTTCTTTAGGCCGGCAAGTGGTATTACATGCATTACTTTCATTGTCTCCACTTCCCTCCAAATTTTGCCTCAGAGATAGATTTTATATCAGCTCTTTACTAAAAGGGGCCTTAGCAATAGAGTTTAGGAAAAGGTCTTGGGGTTCTCTGCCTTCTGTATTTTTACTTTCTTATCTCAAGAATTACATTATTGATTCATTTCAGTCTGTGGTCCACTGTGAACCCTTGATCCTTGCCCATTCAGTGAAACTAGATACAGATCAATTCTACCATCACTAGATTAGTCCAGTCTAAGAGGTAGACAATTCATGTTGAATTTTCAGGAATTACTGCAGGGGAGAACTTGATTCCTAGGAGGGAACTAAAGGGATCATCAAAGCTAAGGGTGGAGCCAATCAAGTGGGGAGACCATAACTGAAAAGGGGAGAGTTTGGAGCCTGATCCTACCCCATGCTGATGTCTCTTCTCATGTCTATTTCACCAGGAGACTCTCTGGGGGCCAGGCCTGGGCTTCCCTACGGGCTGAGCGACGATGAGTCTGGGGGCGGCCGGGCACTAAGTGCGGAGAGTGAAGTTGAGGAGCCAGCCAGGGGTCCAGGGGAGGCCAGGGGTGAGAGGCCAGGCCCAGCCTGCCAGCTGTGTGGGGGGCCGACAGGTGAGGGGCCGTGTTGTGGGGCAGGAGGGCCGGGTGGGGGGCCCCTGCTGCCCCCACGGCTACTGTACTCATGCCGCCTCTGCACCTTCGTGTCCCACTACTCGAGCCACCTGAAGCGGCACATGCAGACACACAGCGGAGAGAAGCCGTTCCGCTGTGGCCGCTGCCCCTACGCCTCAGCCCAGCTCGTCAACCTGACACGACATACCCGCACCCACACTGGCGAGAAGCCCTACCGCTGTCCCCACTGCCCCTTTGCCTGCAGCAGCCTGGGCAACCTGAGGCGGCATCAGCGTACCCACGCAGGGCCCCCCACTCCTCCCTGCCCGACCTGTGGCTTCCGCTGCTGTGCTCCACGACCAGCCCGGCCTCCCAGTCCCACAGAGCAGGAAGGGGCGGTGCCCCGGCGACCTGAAGGTAAGCGAGACCAGGGACCAAAGACCTTGGGACATGGGTGGCTGGCACTAGGAATGCTTGGATTGGATTCATAGCCCAGGTCTTTGTCCCCACAGATGCTCTGCTCCTTCCAGATTTGAGCCTCCATGTGCCACCAGGTGGTGCCAGTTTCCTGCCAGACTGTGGGCAGTTGCGGGGTGAAGGGGAGGGCCTCTGTGGAACTGGATCAGAACCACTGCCAGAGCTGCTATTTCCTTGGACCTGCCGGGGCTGTGGACAAGAGCTGGAGGAGGGTGAGGGCAGTCGGCTGGGAGCTGCCATGTGTGGGCGCTGCATGCGAGGAGAGGCTGGAGGGGGTGCCAGTGGGGGGCCCCAGGGCCCCAGTGACAAAGGCTTTGCCTGTAGCCTCTGCCCCTTTGCCACTCACTATCCCAACCACCTGGCCCGGCACATGAAGACACACAGTGGCGAGAAGCCCTTCCGCTGCGCCCGCTGTCCTTATGCCTCTGCTCATCTGGATAACCTGAAACGGCATCAGCGCGTCCATACAGGAGAGAAGCCCTACAAGTGCCCCCTCTGCCCCTATGCCTGTGGCAATCTGGCCAACCTCAAGCGTCATGGTCGCATCCACTCTGGTGACAAACCTTTTCGGTGTAGCCTTTGCAACTACAGCTGCAACCAGAGCATGAACCTCAAACGTCACATGCTGCGGCACACAGGCGAGAAGCCCTTCCGCTGTACCACCTGCGCCTATACCACGGGCCACTGGGACAACTACAAGCGCCACCAAAAGGTGCATGGCCACGGTGGGGCAGGAGGGCCTGGTCTCTCCGCCTCTGAGGGCTGGGCCCCACCTCATAGCCCACCCTCTGTTTTGAGCTCTCGGGGCCCACCAGCCCTGGGGACTGCTGGCAGCCGGGCTGTCCATACAGACTCACCCTGAACTAGGTCCTTCTTCCCCATGTTTTATACAGACGGACCAGAAGCCACCTTTTTCTCCCCCGCTGGCCAGGGGCTCCACACAGACTAACCTAGGCACTATAAGGACCAGCCCAACCCCATGGGCGGGGGGCCATATGGACCAGGGGGCCTTGCCTTGAGTGATGCACTTCACCAGCTCAGTGAGAAGGGCCCTGTATTCACCTCCACTGCTCCCAGGGGCTGTGGACAAACTGGCTGGGGGACTGCCCAGCCTCCCACCTGTTTATTTAACTTATTTCAGTGCTTTATAATAAAGGAAACACTAACAAAGCCATGTCTATGCTGAATTGGCAATGGCAGGCAATTTGGCCTTACCCTTAGCATAGTAGTCCATGCTGTGATAGGGGAAGCAGGGGCAGTGAGAGGGAACCAGAGGTAGGCAGCAATCAGGCTGAGTTTAATGATGGGGAACTAGGCCAGACCAAACACAGACCTCTGCCCATCCCCTTGGCCTTTGGCCCATGGCCCCAAGAAGCCAGAAGCGGCCCAGAGGGAGTTGTGGTTCCTCCCCAAGGCAGGTAGCCATGGTCCCTTAGACTTTGTGCAAAATACTAAATGCTAATTTGGCATCGAGGGCCAGCTCTGAAAAGAGAAGGGGCAATCCTCTGTGCAGCCAGCCCAGGGGACGAGGAAAGGTACATTACAAGGCCCCTGGCCAAGAGAAAAGGGGAAGGTAGGAAGGGAGAAGGAAAAGACCCCTCCCTCCCCAGCTTGGGGGACACAGGCACAGGGCAAGTTTCTGTAAATTCCACGGGTAAAGGGCAGACATCCAAGCAGTGGAGATTACAGATCCTCATCTCCAATGCCCTCGAAGGCGAAATTGCCGTGGACATCACTGGCACTGGCATCTGTGCTGGGACTGCCAATTCCCCGCAAGCTCACAGCACTCAGCTTACTCTGTAACAAAGGCAGGGTAGGGTCAGAGATCTGGAGCATGCAAGATCCCCCAACAAATAGCAACCTCACCAACCCTGGAACTCACTGAGAGTTTGACCATAGACTCCCGGGTGGCATCAGGTGACTCCTGGGGAAGAAGAGGCAGAGATGTCAGAAACTCACTAGGAGAGGCGAGGCAGGGCTGAGAGCCAGGGTTCTGACGAGGAGGTAATACTTACAAGCAGTGGTGGGGACTTCACTGCTTGCTGGCTGTCTGAGCGTCTCAGAGTGCCCCCCACCCGCCGGCGCAGCATCTGGGGACAGATACAAGGTGCCAGTGAGGGCAGGATCACTCCCCCTCTCTCTCGAGAAGCCTCACATCTAGGACAAAAGGCCCCCAGCCACCCGCTCACTGCTCAGTCCACACTTGCTGCCTACCTTCCTGATACTGCCGCCTGATTTCTTCACCATCAGTTCATCCACCATGGACTGCAAGCAGATGCTCATCATGATAGCCTGAGGGCAAGAAGAGTGTCCAGCTTGACAAGAGTGGTCAGTCTGAGAACAGCAGCACTAATGGTTCCCATATTGAGTACTGGAAACCCTACACTTTTATCTAAGGTGCTTCAGAGGAGGCCTGAGGCTAGGTTCACACCTGGGGGCTAGTGATGGTGACCCACTGTAGCCGGTCCTTGCTCATGAGGTATTCAAAAGCCAGTTCCAGGCGCACCTCGCCCCGGCCCCGGCCCGGGCTGCTCGTGCTTCCACTGGGCAATGGCACCTGGGAGAGGAAGGGGAATTAGGCTGAGTTCACTCTGACCAACCTGTCTGGCTCCCTGACCCACTGCAGCCCATACCTAAGCTCAAGGCTTGCCAGGCCTCCAACCCAGGCCTCCCCCTCCTACCCCGACTCACAGAGGAGGTGACCCGCCAGCATCGCATGCGGGTGACCCGGAAGGAGCCTTCTCGGAGTTGCTGGCCAGGCAGGCGGAGCTGCAGGCTGAGCTCACTGTTGCCCGCGCTCACCACCACGGGACAGTCCTTTTCCGGGAAGTCAGCCACACAGGCATCAAAGCGCAGGTAGCCATAGTGCCGCAGTGTCTGGGCCAGTCTCAGGAACTGAAAATGGTCATCACGTGGGGGTAGATTAGGAGGGGGAATGGGACAGCGCAGAAAAAGCAACCCCTTGGAGGGAGACAGAGGCGGGGCTCACCTCCTTCTTGGAGACCTTCTCTTGCAGAGATTTGAGTTGCCGGTGCTGTTCCTTGGTGACCAAGATCCACCCACGCTCAATATCTGATACCGTCTATAGTAGAGACAAGGGGCAGGCAGTAGGAGGTCCCAGTCAGCAATCCAAGGAAAGTGTCTACCATTACCTCTGTCCAGCCTGACCCCGAGCCCCACACTTGAGCGACCTCTTTGCAGTAAGTCCTTGATCTTGTCAGCTTAATAAAAATAGGGAGAGTAGATATTGTGCCAGCAGCACTGACAGTATTCTAGGAACTTCCCCACAAACTGGGAACAAAAACACGATAGCAGTTTTCTTGGAAGAGTGAGTCACCAGTTACTTTCTTCAGGGGAAGGGTTCTGAGGCAGCTCCAAGCTCACCTGAGCATAAAGCAGGTTCAGGCCAACCCGGTTCTCCATGACATCGTCATCATAGGCAGAGTCCCAATAACTGTGAGGCCAAGGGGTGGAAAGAGGTAATGGGGCTAAGCTGGGGTAAGGCAAGAGGTAGAATGGAAAATGGGCAAAATAGGAGCAATCTGAACTATCAGAGGCTAATGGTATAATGGGAGGAAGCTTGGGAGGCCTGGCAGAAACACCCAGCACTACACCCCCTTGTCCAGATTATTCTGTCTCAATGTATGGCCCAATAATCCAATCCAGCACAGCACCCTCCCACCCCGCCCCTTCCAGGCCCAGCCCTGACCTCTTCCTCAGCACAATCTTATACTCTTGACTCCGAAGGCTAGTAACAGACACATAAGGCAGCTCAAACTCTTGCAACTTCCGTACAACTATGAGTTTAAAAAAAAATGTAGTGAGATTTAAAGGAAGGGAAATCAAGAAAGAAGTGCCCTGAGGTAATGTTCATTCTGGGGGTGGGGGTGGGGAGTTAGAGGGGTTGCAAACTCACTACTGGAAGTACAAGGAAGCAGTCAAGTCCAGAGAAACTCACAAGAAAAGGCTCCATCCTCTTTTTCTCGAACTAAGAATAGGCTAAAGTATCCAATCAAGTCATCTGGAAGATCCAGCTTTGCGGCTACAGCCTGGGGATAGGGATAGAAGTATAGCTCATCATACTGGCTGGTTCCAATCATTCTCCAAGCCCAGGACCCTGGCATGCAGGGGAAGAAGGGGCAGTGCTGAACAAGCGCCTCACCTCCAGGACATCCTCAGTCTGATCTGAAGTTAGCACGTTGATAAGAACTTTCTGCCCGTTGCTGAGCAGCACTTCCAAGGACACTTCCTCTGTGGGGACCTGCTGTGTCTCCTGTTGTGAGCACACATGGGGATGGGAGGCACTGTCTTGTCCCTTGCCTTGACCTATGCCCAACTCTATTTCTAGGTCCCTTGTGTATCTTTATTCTCAGCTGCTTAAATACAGGCTGGGATTTCTTTCATTTCATAGGAACAGAAGAAGTTTCATTCCATTAAAAAAGATGACTCCTCTGTTATTAAGATGACATGGCCTGGCCTGGTGTGGTGGCTCATGCCTGCAATCCCAGCACTTTGGGAGGCTGAGGCGGGTGGATCACCTGAGGTCAGGAGTTCGAGACCAGCCTGGCCAACATGGCAAAACCCCGTCTCCACTAAAAATACAAAAATTAGCTGGACATGGTGGCAGGCGCCTGTAATTCCAGCTACATGGGAGGCTGAGGCAGGAGAATCACTTGAACCTGGGAGGCAGAGGTTGCAGTGAGCTGAGATTACACCACTACTCTCCAGCCTGTGCAACAGACCGAGACTCTGTCTCAAAAAAATAAAAGACATGACCTTCCAATAAGGTCCTTTCCTTAAATCTTGGTCCCACCCAAAGTCCTTACCTGTTGTGCCCGACGCAGGAAACTGTTGAAGGTCTCGCTGCTCCCAAGCAATGGGTCTTGCCGAACTATAAGGACAAGAGAATGATATTACAGGAACTTAGGACTCACTCTTGGCTCCCCAGTCCTCCTCTCAGTAGGTTCCCCCGACCCCATTTCCTGGGCTGATGGTGGCCTGCCACATCCCCCAGCTGGCCTCACCTCACTCACTGTTTGCATAAATTCTTCACCTGCCCCACCCTTGGCTGCCATCTAGGTGAGTCCAGTCTATAGAACTAGGGAAATAACAATGATGTTAATCTAAAGCACATCAGATACAAATTAAGTTCTCTCCACTGATCTTAAGACTAGTGTTATACTACTATTTCTCATAGATGTTAGTGCCCAAATTGTTCTGCTAGTATATAGAATTACATATCCTCAGACTATTTACTTTGCTAATTGCATAACAGATCAAACAAGAGGCTTCCCAGATCTAGAAATTAAATCAGGCCCTTCTACAGAACCAGCTGTTTTTAAGTCTCTCCCCATAGTCCTCAATATAATCAACCTAGTTTCCTGCAACCACTCACCAGCTTGCATGTACTTCTCTAACTGCTCTCTCCTCTGTTCTACCTCAGCAGGAGTCAGAGAGAAAAGCTTCTTTGGGGGGAATGCAGGAAGTACATTGGCCCCATACTCCTTCCGAAGCTATTTAGAGAAAGAGATACAACCCTTCACATAAACACAGAAAATGAGATGTGGCAATCTACATATGCTCATAATGTTCTCTTGGGTGTCCCTCCCTTCCCTCAGTCCCTGCTCCCCTGTCTACCCTGGTCATCTGAGAAACAATTCCTTTGACAGAGGTAGCATCTCAAGGGAGCTGTCCTAGATATAAGCTGTTCTCTATCTTATTGTGTACAAGTCAGCCCCTCCACAGTATGGGGAGGATTTGTACTGGGCCGGGACCTATTGGGAGCCCACTGACCACCTAGCAAGACTGTTCACTGAACCCTCACAGGAAGGAAAGGGCTTTATAAAGTGCAGAGTTAATAGCTAAGTCTGTTCACAAAGTATCTTAGGACTTAAAGGGACTCTGCAGATCAAAGAATCCATCTTTCAGGTGTAGAAACCGAGGCCCAAAGAAATCAGGTAACAGCTGGGTACCGTGGCTCATGCCTGTAATCCCAGCATCTTGGGAGGCCAAGGTGGGTGGATCACCTGAGGTCAGGAGTTTGAGACCAACCTGGTCAACATAGTGAAACCCTGTCTCTACTAAAAATACAAAAATTAGCCGGGTGTGGCGGCAGGCGCCTGTAATCCCAGCTTCTTGGGAGGCTAAGGCAGGAGAATTGCTTGAACCCAGGAGGCAGAGCCGAGATTGTGAGCCGAGATCGTGCCACTGCACTCCAGCCTGGGCAACAAGAGGGAAACTCCGTCTCAAAAAAATAAAAATAAAAAATAAATCAGGTAACTTCCTCAGGGTTGCATAACTAATTATCAGTAGAACTCTACTGAGTTAAATAGAGTTTATGATCTGGTAAGAAAGGAGAAGAAACATTGCATCACAGATACATAACGATAATTGGCACAGCTAAACACACTGAAATGAGCCGAAGAACACAAAAGGAAATCCGTGAATCGTTTGTATAAGCAGGGAAAATAACTTCAAGTTGCCGCTCAGATGACAGAAGGAATGTGCTTTGACAGCCTAGGTGGAGGTAGTCGGGGGGAAGGGTTGGTTTGCCCATGCAGGGGTAAAGGCTACTAGGGCAGTAAGACAGGACAGAGAACCAGGATATAAGGACAGGAACGGGCAGTTGTTGCGCGGACATTAAGCTTCTTAGGGAGTTCCCGGAAATGTTAAACAAGATAAACCAGGACCCTTCCCTGTGGCAGTGATTAAAGGGGAACTACAGTCTACGGGAACAAGAAGAGCAGGTAAAGGGAGACACTGATGCCCACGTGTAGGGAAGGGCTTGAAGCTGTCTCAAGGCAGGGGTGCTAGTCCCACCTGCTCGTGCAGCCCCAGGAGCTGGCTGTAGCGCACCCGACAGTGCAGGACTCCATTCACGTGAATGTTATAGGCCTGAGGACACAAAAGTAGTCAAGCATTTTAGGGCTGCGGTCTGAGCAACCCCCTTGAGAACCCTGGCCGGAAGTTGCCTGGCAACTCCGCCGGAGTAACGCGCTAATCTCCCAAGGGTTAGTTCGCTTGTTTTCCCCAGGGCCAGGTCCCAAAGCTGAAGAGCCAGTCCGGGGGAAATTCGGACGCTTGTGTTGCAGTCTCCCTGCCCAAGAGGCCAGTGACGCCCACCAGGGCAGCTGGGGCCTAGCTCCGGGAGGCGACCCGGCCTAAGGGCCTACCCTACAGGAGCTCGGGCGACCAATCACACACACGAGATGAGCTCCCGACGGTCGGCGGCCCAGGACCAGGCCCGAAGGGTGGCGGTCAGGCCTCGGAGGCCGCTCCGAGAAGGCTCGGGCCCGTTATCCCCGCCCCTGCCCGGCCCGGCTCCGGCCGCTCCTCACCACGTAAGCGGAGCCGCCGCTGTCCCCGCTGCGGGACTCGGTTTCGGGAATGGAAAAGTGCATGTTCCCTACGGCACGGCCCAGCCGGGCTCCGGACTGTGAGGGCCGAAGCGGCTCTGCACGCTCCCCCTCCGCTGCTCAGCGAGTCCCCGCAGCCTCACTCGCCATTTTGGGAGCCCTGCGATCCGATGTGGGAAGGCGGTGGGACGTCGGTTCTGGGACGCAGTAGCCCGGGCATGCTGGGAACTGTAGTCTAAAGGGCAAGAGCCGCCTCTCGGGACAAGGAGCCCAAAGTGGAGTTGACCCTCATTGCAACCCGTAGTGCGGGGCGGGGCCCCGGGGCCCGTCAGAAATTGTAGTCCGATTAGGGCTGCGCGTCCTCCTTCGGCGGCTCAGCCTCCAGCCCAGGTGGCGCTGTGGACCCAGCGGCCACGGAGCGAGGCAGCGGGGCGGCTCCGTGACCAGGCGGGCGGAGCCTAGGACTGAGGGCGATGGCTGCTGTGGCCGTGGCTGTTCGCGAGGGTGAGTGAAGAGCCAGGCCTGCCTACCGGTACGTAGGCCGACGAGCCCCGGACAGCTAGTGCCGGGCCCTGAGCGCCTTTGGGCCCCGCCGCTCTGTTCCAGCGCCACGCTGGGCGCCGGTCTACACAGTCTCTAGCGCAGTCCCGCGCCGTGCACCGGCTGGTTCCTGTGAGGAGGATCGGTGACCCCTCCTTTCCTTTGATCCACCGCGCAGTGCGTCCCCACGCGGATCTTTGGCTCGCCTCGCGCCTGCCGGCAGAGCCATGGTCATGCTAACCCAGCAGCCGGCTGCGCCGAGTGCTAGTGCCCCCAAGCCCTCTCGGAGTCTGTCTGGCTCACTTTGTGCCCTGTTTTCTGATGCAGACTCGGGATCCGGGATGAAGGCGGAGCTTCGCCCTGGGCCTGGGGTAAGTGTGGCTTCCCTCCCAAGCCGCCTGCCAAGCGCTACGCAGGAGGCTGTGCCAGCTTTATTCCGCCCCAGCTCCCATCCCGTGTCAGTTTATTTCTCAGTAAAGCCAGGAGATTTTACAGAGGTCTTGCAACTCTAGCAATATATGATTCTGTCCCTGGAGGAGAAACGTCAGTCTCTGTGGATGTAAGCTTGTAACAGGTAGCTTGTGGAAGTTAGGGAGAACTAGGGATTTAACCATGTATTCGTAAGCATCCAATAGTGTTTGTTCCCCTTTGGAATTGTTGGGGAAGAGCAGTATCCTATGTCTGTGTCTCAGGCAGTGGGGAGGGAAATGACCAAAGAAGAGAAGCTGCAGCTTCGGAAGGAAAAGAAACAGCAGAAGAAGAAACGGAAGGAAGAAAAGGGGGCAGAACCAGAAACTGGCTCTGCTGTATCTGCAGCCCAATGTCAAGGTGCGGGGTCTTTTTTAAAGGGCTGGGGTGTGGAGCTGGTAGAGGGATGTGGTGGGAGAGAGAAGGGAGAGACAGGACAAAGTTGATTTGAGCAAGTGTGTAAAGCAAAGAGGTTTACAAGGAGAGAAGCGAATTTTAGCTGGGACACGGATATTGCCTGCCTGCAGCTTGGGCACCTGTTTTTTTTTTTAATGCTTTTAGTAGGCCCAACCAGAGAACTGCCAGAATCGGGCATTCAGTTGGGCACTCCTGGGGAGAAAGTTCCAGCTGGTCGGAGTAAGGCTGAACTTCGAGCTGAGCGTCGAGCCAAGCAGGAGGCTGAGCGGGCCCTGAAACAGGCAAGAAAAGGGGAACAAGGAGGGCCACCTCCTAAGGCCAGCCCCAGCACAGCTGGAGAGACCCCCTCAGGTATCTTCCCTTCATTTTAAGACCTCCCTTACTCCTAATTCTAACACCAGCTCAGGCTGCCCTGTAGTAAAACAGCTCTCACCTCTCATTCTCACCTTGGAACCCAGAGTTCTGAATTCTTCCCATCATCCTATCCCTATTTCCTTTTCTACTCTATTATCCCTTGTTTTCCCCACCTCATCCTGTTTTTCTTGATGCCCCTTATACCCTAAGAGCAAATTACATATTTCAAGACCTACAGTGTCCTGAAAACATGATCATTATCTTTCAGGAGTGAAGCGTCTCCCTGAGTACCCTCAGGTTGATGACCTGCTTCTGAGAAGGCTTGTTAAAAAACCAGAGCGTCAACAGGTAGGAAGTGGGTTTGGTGCCTGGGTAGAAAGAGACTAGGGAAATGGACTGGAGGGAGGAAAGGTGCTGGGTGCAAAGTGAGAAGGATGGGTGCTTGGGTCAGAGTAGTCTTACTGTTCACTTCCTTTCCAGCTTTATCTCATCATTTTTAAACTCTGGGCCATTGGTCCTGTTTCCTTGTTTTGTCAAGGTTCCTACACGAAAGGATTATGGATCCAAAGTCAGTCTCTTCTCTCACCTACCCCAGTACAGCAGACAAAACTCTCTGACCCAGTTTATGAGGTAGGATCCTATGAGATTGTCATAACTTTTGAGTCTGAGAAGTTTTAGTAAGTCAGTATTGAAAGTGTCTAGTAAGGTGGGCTCTGCAGGAAGAAGTATGAACCCAAGGCAGAACTGTAGAAGAAGTGGGGAAATCTGCTAGTGAAGGAAGTTCCTTTTCATTAGGGGCAGGTGGGCAGGGCAGTAGATGCTCAAGCTCCCTTTTGAAGTATGTGACACCGCCATCCCATCAGCATCCCATCCTCTGTGATCCACCCAGCCATGGTGCGACTCGGCCTGCAGTACTCCCAGGGCCTGGTCAGTGGCTCCAATGCCCGGTGTATTGCCCTGCTTCGTGCCTTGCAGCAGGTATGTCCTATCCTGTTCTCTCTTACAATCCAACCCCACCTCCCACAACACTACCCCAGCTTCTCTGTCACCCAAGGTCACCTCTGGGGGACAAAGGGAATACTCCCACCTTCAGAACATTTTCCTCAGTGAGGCTTATCCCCAGCCCCCGTTCAGAGATCTTTATTAAGGGGCGTTTTGTAGATCACCTTGTGTACCTTATAGGTGATTCAGGATTACACAACACCACCCAATGAAGAACTCTCCAGGGATCTAGTGAATAAACTAAAACCCTACATGAGGTAGGAATAACACTATAAGTCCACTCCCACCTCACCCAATCTTTGTCTTGTACTCTTTTTCGTGCTTTTCTATCTCTGTTTTCATTTTCTGTTCTGTTTTCTTTTTAAAGACTTTTTTTTTAATGTGAAACCTTTGTTAAGTTGTGAAGAGTTGCACAGATGTAAGGTATTGCTGTTGTATTACAGCTTCCTGACTCAGTGCCGTCCCCTGTCAGCGAGCATGCACAACGCCATCAAGTTCCTTAACAAGGAAATCACCAGTGTGGGCAGTTCCAAGCGGGAAGAGGAGGTGATGAGTATGAGAAATAAGGAAGGCATGCACCTGTGGGTAGAATTAAGAAACATGTTCAAAACCCCCGGGAAGGCCAACATAAGCCTTTTTTTTTTTTTTTTTTTTGACCTAGTCAAGGGTTAAGGAAGGGTTTGGGCATTCTGACTTGTGCCATCTCTGGGCCCTCTATGGGCCTGTCATCATACACATATTCAAGCACCTGGCATGATCATCAGTGGGATAAAAGTGTCCATTTCTTGTTCACTAAGGATTTTGCTCCATTTAGGCCAAGTCAGAACTTCAAGCAGCCATTGACCGGTATGTGAAAGAGAAGATTGTGCTTGCAGCTCAGGCAATTTCACGCTTTGCTTACCAGAAGATCAGTAATGGAGATGTGATCCTGGTATATGGATGGTATGGTCCAGACCCTGTGACTGAGCAAACTGGGGAGTTGGAATGATCTGAAGAAGGGACTACCCATTTGCCTTTGGGAATAAGTTGGGAATAAGTTAGTCATCAGTTACTGACATTTATAACTGAATCCTCCTCTTCATTCCCTCTAGCTCATCTCTGGTATCACGAATTCTTCAGGAGGCTTGGACAGAGGGCCGGCGATTTCGGGTGGTAGTGGTGGACAGCCGGCCACGGCTGGAAGGAAGGCACACGCTACATTCTCTAGTCCGTGCTGGTGTCCCAGCCTCCTACCTGCTGATTCCTGCAGCCTCCTATGTGCTCCCAGAGGTGAGTACAGAGGAAAAGGACTCCAAAGTTGGAGGTAAAAAAGTGTAGTAGTATAGATGTAATCTCACCTTCTCAAAGTTAGTTTTGTTTTTGTTTTGAGATAAGGATGGAGTGCAGTGGCGTGATCACAGCTCACTGCAGTCTTGACCTCCTGGGCTCAGGTGATCTTCCCACCTGCGCCTCTGAGTAGCTGGGACTACTGGTGTGCACCACCACGCCCAGCTAGTTTTTATTCTTCTTGTAGGGATGGGATATTGCTATGTTGCCCAGGCTGGAACTCCTGGGCTCAAGCAATTCCCCTGTCTCGGCCTCCCAAAGTACTGGGATTATAGGCATGAGCCACTGTGCCCAGCCACAATTATTTAAAAGTATTAGAATTATATAGTCCTGGCTTGGCGCCATGGCTCACGCCTGCAATCTCAGCACTTTGGGGGTCCAACGCAGGAGGATCACTTGAGCCCAGGAGTTCAAGACCAGCCTGCTCAACATAATGAGACCCTGTCTCCACACACACATACACACACAAACATACAAAATTAGCTGGGCATGGTGCATGCGCATGTAGTTCCAGCTACTTAGGAGGCTGAGATGGGAGGATTGCTTGAGCCCGGGAACTGCAGTGAGCTGTGATTGCACCACTGCACTCCAGCCTGGGCGACAGAGTGAAACCCTGTGTCAAGACAAAAAATTACATAGCCCTGTTTATATTTAATTGGAAAAACACTGACAGTATGTTACAGCAGTCTAGCTATTGCAAAAACATTACATTAAACTAGCAACCAGGAAGAGGGAACAAGACAAAAGTAACTTCAAAGTTTAGTTTTCCTGTGGGAGATTTGATGGGTCAGTGGTCAGGTGTTTTCACAGAGGAAGAGCCATCATTAAGATGTTTTCACAGAAGAAAAGCCATGATTAAGATTTATTACTTGCCAGGCCCAGTGGGTCACGCCTGTAATCCTATCTCTTTGGGAGTCCGAGGCAGGCAAATCATCTGAGGCTGGGAGTTTGAGACCAGCCTGACCAACGTGGAGAAACCCCGTCTCTACT